ACATGATAGATGTGAAACCACTGACAACATTTTAAGGTGACTGTTGTTGTGATTTGGGGCTGTAGGAATAAAGCACTAAACATCCAGAGACCCTGTGTCCGGCCGGTCAGTGTCCTTAAAGACGAATCACATTTCCCTCTAACTGGTTAAAAAGCGAGACGTCTCACACAGACAAACCTGTGGTGTGACCCAAAGCGTCACGGTCCTGGGTCGGTGTGTTTAGATTTTTGTATAATTATTGAGCTTTCATCGTGGTTCATCATTACCAGTCTTTTGGTTTAAGGTTCTGTATTTCGAGCTCTAGTAGTTCTTTGTTCTGTAATTTTAGTCCTTAAGTTTTGTTTTTGTGTTTCCTGTTTTATTTTGATAGTTCCTGTCTGTCTGTGAAGGTTCTCAGTCATCCAGGTCATCGCCATTTGTCCCTCTGTGGGGGGAAACTCCCACTAGGTTTATATCTGGGACTCTCCACCATTTGACCTTAGAACTGAAGAAGCTTCTCGGATGAAGGTGAAACGTCTTCAAGCAACTCAAAGAAGTCCAGACGCTTTTCTTTGCAGCTCCTTTGACTACGATAGTCCCTGTCCTGTGTGCAGCGCGTTGGTTTTGCTTCTGTTGTCTCGTTAGGTCTGATTTGTCCCAGCTGTGTTTCCCTCCCCTCTCCCATTCCCCGATTGCTCCGGTGTTTATTCGAGCCCTGTGTTGTTGTTGCTCTGTGTCGTATCCTCTTGTGAGCTCTGTCTGCCTGTTAAGCCGTGTTATCTTCCCCAGTCTCGTTAGTTTTCTCTTCGTTTCCTGTCCAGCAAATAACCAAGTTTCCATTTATTATTCCCACACAGCATCACAGATCTGAACAGAAGGAGCAGCAGGCAGAGATGTCCTGGTAGCTTATCAGGTAGATGTAAATACCAAACAGAGGATTTATTGAAATACAATAAATACAGAAAATCTTTGTTTCTTCCTTCAGTCTTTGCTCTGATTGGTCGACACATTAAACCAAACGTGTTCATGCAAATGGGCTAAGACATCCACACGGTTGTGTTTTATCCCCAAAGACGCATCTATGGCATAAATGTTCCTCATTAACTTTCAGTTGACCTCTGACCTTCAGGTCCAGGTCGCTACTAAATGCAGCTGTGGTATCAATTAAAGTTATCATGAAGTTTCCATGAGGTCAACGTCACTGAGATCCAGACTCGTCGAGATATTTGGAAGCTGCAGCTAAAGCGCCGCGTTCTTGTTGTCCACTCCACCCGCCTGCCTGCCCACGGCGGGTGACTACAACACCCTGACGACATTCAGACTTGTATATGAGAGCGTCGACCACAGCTCGATGCGACGAGCTGAGTCTCTGAATGCGTTACAGAAGAGTTTTGTCGGGTTTCAGCTTGAAGTAAATCAGGTACGAGACAAACGACAGGATCGGTTGTTCTCACCGAGACAGGATTCCCACAAAGTTGTTGGGGCTGGAGGAATGGAGGAGTGGCTTAACATTCCCCAGCTCGCTCTTAAAGGTCTGAAGCTCCACCCCTCGGCCG